GTCAGGGTTACACGGGGAGGTACACAACGCCCCCTCAGCAGAGCTACCCTCCCCAGCAGCAACACCAGCAGCACCAGGGCGGCTATTACCCGTATGTTTCTCCGCCTACGCCCCACGACAGCAACCCTACCGCCCATATCCTTCCCTCCCTCCATAGCTCTCTCTCTGTGCGCCTCGATCCCTTCGGACCTCATCTCGTGCGCAGCCGTGAGCCTTGCTGACCCAATCCTCCACCGCAGACCGCAACAGCCCACCTACAATGGCTACCAGCAGCCTCGACCTGGCCCTCCCCCCGGCGCCGGCCCCGGTCCTGGGTACGGCTACAACCAGCCGCCTCCTCAGCAGTATGGCGGTTACAACGGACCTGTCAGTGTTCCCCCAATTGCCGTCCTCCGTCCCACGCTGCGTGTCTTGGACTTGTCACACTGACCACCGAATCAGCCACCGCCTCAGCAACAGCAGCAACAGCCCTACAACGGCGGCTACGGCCCGCCGCAGCCCAATTACAACAGCAGACCCGCCATGCCCACAGTCAATTCGAACGCCTACGTCCACGGCAACCATAACGCTCCGGCGCCTCCTCCGACAACCCCTCAGCAGTTTGGCCACGGCGCTCCGAGCAACTACAACTTCCAGTACTCCAACTGCACCGGCAGGAGGAAAGCGCTCCTGATCGGCATCAACTACTTTGGCCAGCGCGGCCAGCTGCGAGGCTGCATCAACGATGTGAAGAACATGTCGGCCTATCTGGTGGAGAATTTCGGATACAAGCGGGAGGACATGGTTATCTTGACCGATGATCAGCAAAACCCCGTCAGCCAGCCGACAAAGCAGAACCTGCTGCGTGCCATGCACTGGCTGGTCAAGGATGCCAGGCCCAACGACTCTCTCTTCTTCCACTACTCGGGCCATGGCGGCCAGACCAAGGATCTCGACGGCGACGAGGACGATGGCTACGACGAGGTCGTGTACCCTGTCGACTTTCGCCAGGTCGGCCACATTGTCGATGATGAGATGCACAGGATCATGGTCAAGTCTCTGCCTCCCGGCGTCAGGCTGACTGCCATCTTCGACTCGTGCCACTCCGGTACCGCCCTCGACCTTCCCTACGTCTACAACACCCAGGGCATCCTCAAGGAGCCCAACCTGGCCAAGGAGGCTGGCCAGGGTCTCCTGGGTGTCATTTCGTCCTACACACAGGGCGACATGAGCGGCGTGGCCAACAACATCATGGGCTTCTTCAAGAAGGCCACCAATGGCGATGACGCGCACCAGCGCACCATGGCCACCAAGACGTCTCCGGCAGACGTCATTATGTTCTCCGGCAGCAAGGACGACCAAACCTCGTATGTATACCCCAGCATATATGTCTCTTATGTTTGACGACGAAAGACCCCGCGTGTTGGTCTTGATTTTTATAGAAGAGGAAGGAAAGCGATTTCACAGTCGGTGTTCACCGCATTGCTGGGAGTTTGGTGGACGGGAGTCCATTGAGGACACAGGAACTGGCAGCCACCGGCCAGCTTTCCGATTATGGCTTTTTTTTTCCTTCCTCCCCTTTTAGCAGTATATGAAAGATCCTTGTCTTTACGTCCTAGACGCAAAGTCGGCCCATGTTGCGGCCCGATTTTGCGTCTGGGGCGACGAGTCACGTTGGATCACTGGCGCGCCGCAAGTGCGGAGGGCCAACAAGCACCCTTGTTCCTGGAGCAAGCGTCGACGATGTGGATTCGGATGCTAACTACCGTGATAGTGCGGACGCCACCATTGCTCAGCAGGCCACCGGTGCCATGTCGTGGGCCTTTATCACGTCTCTCAAGAAGAACCCCCAGCAGAGCTACGTGCAGCTGCTCAACAGCATCCGTGACGAGCTCGAGGCCAAGTACTCGCAGAAGCCTCAGCTGTCCTGCAGCCACCCGCTGAGTAAGTCTTCTCGCCTAGATTGTGCCTTGTTCACTACTGACGACCACAGACACGAACCTTCTCTTCGTCATGTAATCATACCTCACGCGTTACGGCCCCGTCTTGTATATGAAAAAGTTTCAGCGCTCACTTCACTGGGCTCGAATCAGCGAATACCCCTGGATAGGGTGGCAGTTTCAAGAGCAGGAGGGAGGGGGAGGGTAAAGGTCTTGCATTTTTGGTCTAGGGAGGGAAGTGGGATGGATGTTTTTTGTTTTGGCAAGATTCAACGGAGACTGGCGATGTGTTTTTTGGACAAGGGAGAAAGCAGTGGCCCAGTTTGGTAGTTGCACGATTCTGTGGTAGTAGCGCATACTCTTAATGCAACCTTGTCAAACTGTCTTGGTCCGAACTTGATGCAGAGATGTCAATGGACTTGTACACGTCGCGAGTCACAATGACACTGCCGACAGCACCGAAGCGAAACGGTCAACAGGCGGAATCATTACATTCTTCATTCTGGCCGAGCCAGCCCTCTCATGCAGAACCCTAACCCCAAAACCCATCATGACCCTGACGCCGTCCATCCCTGCCCTTCCAGGGCTAGTGCACGTATTATACCCAAACAACGCCAACAGGCATAGCGCATAGCATATCGATCCCGCCGTCCCGCCATCCATACCCTCCTCGATAGCGAAATCGTCCCCGTCCCGACGACGACAACATGCCCACGCAGCGCTCAGACGGCGTGCGCCTCCTCGTCCCGAACGACCTTGAGCCCCCTCCTCTTCTTGACGCGGCGCATCTCCTCGACCCTGTCGGCAAGCTTCTTGCGCGTGGCCTCGTGCGCGGCCCACGCGCGCGCGCAGATCTTGGCCCGCGCCACGAACCGCGCCATCGTCGCCACGGACTTGAAGGTCGGGCGGGACCCCGGCGGGCGGGCGAGGCTCGGCGGCGGGGCGGCGAGCGCGCGGCGGCTGCCGAGGACTTCGGTGCGGATCTGCTCGAGTTCGCGCAGCTGGGCCTTGTTGCTGCGGGGGGACAAGACGCGTTAGCTACTTTTTGTTTCTCCTGCAACGGAGATGAGTGGACGTACCATGTGTGAGCGACCTCGAGCTCCAGCTGCAGGAACTTCTTGGCGTACGCCGCGTCGGCGCGCATGCTGACCTCGCGCTCCCAGCGCGCCTGCATCCACTCCATCTGGAGCGCCATGCCGCGGAGCTCCTTGCCGTGACGTTCCTCGGCGCCCTCGGCCGCGCGGATCACCGTGTCAATGGCCGACTCGTTGAGCGTGTCGTACACGGCGGGCCCCTGCGGCGCGGCGTCGGCGGCGGCCTTGAGCTCGCGAATGTCGCGCTGGAGCTTCTCGGCCGTGAGCCTGTAGGCGGCGCGCTCGCTGCGCGTGCGCTCGAGCTTGCGGCGGAGGGAGGCCTCGGCGGCCGACAGGGCGTCGATGGCGTCTTGCTGCTGGAGCACGTCGTGTTCGAGCGCGTCCGTTTCCGCCTCGGACCGCTGCAGGAGCTCCTGGAGGTTGCGGTGCTCGGACGACATGCTGTCGAGGTTGAGGCGGCTCGACGCCGCGGCTTTGCGCTCGCGTTCCGACTTGTCCAGCTTCTGGCTGAGACGGCGGAGGGCTTTCTCGTGGAGGACCGTCACTTCGTCGGCGTCGCGCTGCGCGTCTTCGAGCGCTTGCTCGAGCGACGCCTTCTGGTCTTCCAGGTCGTCGAGGCGGGACTGGAAATCGCGCTCGATCTGCCCCATCTTGCGCTCGGCATCGCGCGCCTTGGTCTTGAACTCTTGCACCGACTGCTGGGCGGATGAGAGTTGCGTGCGGAGGCTGTTGACCTCCGACGGACGAGCGGACGTGCCGGAAGAGTTTGGCGATGCGATGAGACGAGACATCTCGGCCTCGTGGGCCTGGCGCTCGAGGTCTGCAATCTGTCGCTTGAGGTTCTTGACAATGTCCTTGTGCGCTGATTCACGCTGCAAGAACTCGCGCTCCCTCTGTCGGGCGCTTGACAGGTCGCGACGGACAAGTGACAACTCGCTGTTGCCCTCCGTGACGTTACCGACGGGGACATTGGTCCTGGCGGCGAGTTGATCTTCGTAGTCTCGGATGCGTCGCTCAAGCTCGCGGATGGTCCTGCGCGTGGATGAAGACTCTGGCCCATCGGAAGACGACGCCTCCCTGAGCTTGGACTGCAGTTGGAGGATCTCCTGGTTGAGACGCTCCTCCTCCTCCGCAGACTTGTCAATCTCATCTTCCAGCGATCTCTCGAGCGACCTCCTCTGCTCCATGAGCACGTTGTTCTCCTCCTTCAAGCGGCGCACCTCGTTGTCGAGCTTCATCTTGGCAGTCCGCAGGTCGAGTCTCTCGCGGTCGACGCGTAGAGTCTCTTCGCCTGAGTGCTGCAGCCTCTTCATTTCACTTTCGACCTCGTCACGCTCAGCCCTCGCTTCAGCGAGCGAGTTCCTCAGCGAGCGCATTTCCAGATCCAGAGATGCAAGCCGGTCCTGCAGGTCCTTCTTCTCCTTGCCAAGCTTGACCACCTGGGCGGTTGAGTCGTCTAGCTGCGTCTGCAGTCGTTCGAGGGACGCACTGGCGCGCGTCTCGTTCTGCTGGTATGAGCTGGCGGTACCACGGGCCAGGTCAGCAGTGCGACGAAGGGACTCGAGCTGTTGCTTGAGGTCCTCACACTCGCGTCGAGCAGCTTCAAGCTCCTCGCGGGAGTGTTCAGACTCTTCATCTAGTGTCGTCTGCAGGACTTCGACCTCATCCTCTAGTGATTCGATCTTCTCTGACTGTGATTGGTAGTCAACCTGGGTTTGCCGCAGCTCGTCTCGCGTCGCAGAAAGTTCATTGCGCAACTCCGTGAGCATCGACTGCCGAGAGTCGAGATCCTGTCGCAGGTCGGAAATCTGGCGGTTGAGACTGGCTTGCTCGTTCTTGTGACGCTCAGCCTCACTTCGCAACGCCTCTTGAAGCTGTGCCTCTTTTCCGGATAGGTTGCCCTCCGCTTCGCGCAGCCGAGCAATAGTGCTTTCCAGGCTCGAAGCTTTCTCTTGTGCTCGATCGCGCTCCGACTGCAGCGTGCGGCGGTCCGTTTCCCACTTCTCGCTGTCGTTGTCGTACAAGTTGTCTCGTTCGCGGATCTCGGCTTGAAGATCCGAAATTTCGTCGTTGAGGCGGTCGATGTCTCCCTTGAACTGGTTACGAATGTGTGTCTCGATTCCCAGGGCATGATCACGTTCCTGAGAGAGGCTCTCTTCCAACTCATCGACGGATCTCTGCAACCGCGAAACATCACGCTGCAGAGAGGCAGACTCGCTGGTCAACGCGTCGTGGCGTGTTTGGAGCAGGCTCTTCTCGTCGATCCGTGCTTGAAGTTCTTTCCTTAGTTCTTCCACCTTCGCAACGAGAGAATGGTGCTCTTGTTCAGAGAGGTCCTTGCTTTGTCGTGTCTCCTGGACGGATGATTTGAGGCTGCGGTTTTCCGTCATTGCCTGAGAAAACTCCTTCTCCAGCGTTGCATATCTCTCATCGGCTTGCTCCAGCTCCTTCTGCAATCGGGTGAGTCGTTCTTCTTTTTGACGACTGAACCCCTTGGTGACGACTGATTTGTTGGCCATTTCTTCCTGCAGCTCTTGCAGATCGCTCTCTGCCCTCTTCTTGTCCGAAATGGCGTCGTCAGCCTTGTCTTGGATCTCGTCGACTTGAGCTTCCAACCGTCGGATGCTGGCCTCGAGGTCTTGAATGGTGTCTCTGGCGTCCTCCAACTCGTCGTTGGCCGACGAACCGGCCGCGGCCTTTTGTTCGAGCTCGAGAATTCTTCGCTGAGCCTGCTTGGACTCGTCCTCGGCCTTTTGCTCGAGTTCGGTGATTCTTCGCAGCGCTTGTCGGGATTGTGTTTCGGCCTCCTGTTCCATCTCGATCATCCTTCGTTGTGCGTGCTTGAACTGGGCCTCCGTCTCTTGCAGTTTGGTTTCGAGATTTTTGAGTTGCTCGTCGTGTTCTCCAGCAGCATTTGTTTCTGCCCTCTTGAGCCTGGCCTTGTAATCCTCAATCTCGTCTTCGCGTTCACCCAGGACTTCGTCCTTCTCGTTCAGCTTGGCTTGGAGATCATCAACCTGGTCTTCGTGTTCGCCAATGAGGCGATCCTTTTCGCGCAAGTCGGCTTCCAGGTCTCCGATTTCGTCTCGCAGCTTTTCGATCTCTGCCGAATCTCCCTTTTCTTGTTGCACTTGGCGCTGCAGATACTCTATATCTGACTCCTTCTCCTCCAGTGACTGTTGGAGACGGTCAATCTCGGCCAACTGCTTCTCGTCGGCATACTTCTTCTTGGCCTTCTCCTGCAGCTGGAGCATCTGCTGACGGTAGCTCTCGAGATCCTTTTCGGCCGTCGTCAGGTGCTTCTTGTACTTCTGCAGGTCGCGTTGCATCGTGACCTTGTCGACCTTGAGCTCCGTGTTCTCCTTGAGAGCCGCCTCGCTGAAGCCGGGCCCGGCTTTTCGCAGGGCTTCTTCGAGGAAGTGAATCTTGAGTTTCAGGCCAAAGTTCTCCTTCTCGATGCGGTCAATGACATTTTCTTGTTCGCGCAGCGACAGCTGGTTGCCGTCCTGCAAGGGGCCCTTGCCGTCTCCTCTCCTCGGCAGCGGCACGAGCGGGGTCGAGTTGGCACTACTCGTGTCGACCTGCGGCAGCGTGTTGTCGACGTAGGAGGCGTTGCGCGAGTACATGGACGCGTCGGCGTTGGGGATGGGCGTGAGGTCCTCTTCGATCCTGTCGAGGGCGGCGGGCGTCGCTGGCACGACGCCATTCTCCTTGCCAAAGGCGGCGCGTCGTGCGCTGTTCCGCGTGGCCGACTTGAGCATGGGCGTGAACTCGGCGCCCTGCAGCGGCAGGTTTCTTCGGTCGGCCAGGGGGCCGCGCCCGCGTGGTGTGCGGAGGCTCGGTCGTCCGTTGCGCAGCTGTTGAAAGATGTTCTTGTCCTTGGCCGGTGACTGGAAGGAGACTTCTTGCGACATGTCAAAGTCGGGCTGGCGGTCGAGATATGTCGCGTCGCCAGCGTTGGTTCCTGGCGTGTCGAGGACACCGCCATAACCGGGTCGTGCCATTGTTTGGTGGCTCGGGGGGCGGGTTGGTGTCGTGGTGGTGTTGTGGTGGTGATGTGGGTTAGAAAGTCGAATGTATGTTTATCTCGTCGTGCGTAGAGACATGGATGCAACGAAACATAAAGAATTGCAAACCAGCAAGAATAGCACGTGAAGCTCGGCAGTTGTGAGGCTGGCGATAGTATGTGTGCGGTTCAAGCTTTCACTACTTCGCGGTGCAAGGCTGAAAATAAAAAAACGAGCAGGTGTCAACGCGACTTGTGCTTGCCTGCTTTGCGAAATATGGACGTGATTCAACTTGCAATCGCGAGGGTGGCTCTTGCGCCCGTGATGCAATGGACGAGGCGCGTTTTCCCCAGTTTGTTGACATTCCATCCATATTGGGTTAGCTTCGTTTACTTTCTTGGGTGGCCATTGTGACTAAGCGTGTCGACCAATCAAGGCACCAATTCAAACTACCCCGCACACATGACCTGGTGCCGTTGAATCGTGCCTCTTTGAGCTCCAGGCCCCCAAGAACCCCCTCGACACGCCCACCCACCAAAATGCATCTCTACACCCAGCAAATGCCACCAGAATGGCCCAAAACTCATGCCACAAGGGTGGAGAACCCTGCATCTGTTAGCGTCACAGCCGCAGCATCTCCAAGCTGCAAGCTTCCACGTGAGAGCGACTCAGCCGCCCATCCATCCCAGGGTCATCCAACTACACACCAAGACGCGCACACTCGGCGGTCAAGACTGTCCCAGGCCGGTCTAGATCTGCGCTGCAACCAATATCGAGCTACCCTATCCGGGCACATAGCTACCAGGTGCCAGGTTTCTTCACGGCAACCCCCCCCCCCCCCCCCAAGGGAGCTCTCCAACCGAGGGGTCATCCATACCATGACGGGTTCAATTTTCAACTGAACTGATTCCATAGCCGGGACCGACCCCTCCTTTCCATTTGCCTCTCTCAGGAGATCCTTTAACTATACGGCAAATCATTTTGAGTCTTGACAGAGGTCATCCTATCTCGCTACCCTCTTCTGCTGGTCTTTTAACCTCTGAACAGTCTTTTTTCCCTTTACTCCTCCACACGCTGAGCAATTCGCCTCCCTCACGTCGCCACCATGCCCACATTGGAAGAGATCCCCGATGAGATCATCCACCACATTCTCTCCTTCGTTTCGCCCGAGAACAACCTGCTCCGCGTCCAGCTGCTCTCGAGAAGACTCAACATGATCGCCAACGAGCCGCTGCTATGGCGCCAGCACTGTCAGACGGCCTTCACGTACTGGGGGCCTGACCATGATTTTCAGGCCAAGCTCGACGGCAAGGTCTCCGACGTCGACTGGAAGGCGCTGTTCCTCGTGCGCAAGGCGACCAACGCCCGCATCTCCAACCTCTTTGACGGCATTCTCGCCACCAAGCTCGGCCGCGTGAGGAGGTTCGAGCAGATTTGCCTCCTCGGCTATGACGCAAAGGACTTTTTGCTAGAGCAATGCCACACCATTGACACGGCGGACGACGTGCTGGCCAGGCGGTAGGAACTGATAGGTATTCCCCGAGCCATCACTCCGTTCACTGAAACAAGCGCTCAGGTATCACAGCAAGGCCCTTCTCGCGAGCCTCCGCCGAGGACTCGCCCTCGACGTCTGGGACAGCCTGCGCCGCCATCCGGATATCGTGGCCAGCGGCCGAGACCCCCCGTGGCGAAGACCGCGCGCTCTGGAGTCGGCTCTCTCTGCTCTCGACATGTTTGTCATCCAGGATGATACGGGCGACATGGACCACGTAGGTCGTTGGTTGGTTGCGCCTGGCGCCGTGCATGAACTGACATGATGTCAAGGTATCTCGCATCCTCGATGACCTAGCCCTTGAGTTCCGGTCCTCTCAACATGGCTTTGAGCGACAAAGCACGCGAGACAAGTCACTGGCTCTGAACCGATGGCTTCGATCGCACAATCTGACGGGCATGAGCGATCCTCACAAGAACTATCGAAATCTGAGAAATTGTTTCATCGGCCAAGCCCTGCGACAGGAGGAGCACGAGTCGCTGCCTCTGATATCCGTGGCCATCTTCTGCTGCCTCGCGGAACGCCTGGGTCTGAACGCGCACTGCCTGGCCATTCCCGGCCATGTACATGCAGTAGTGTATGCCACGCGCGACACGAATCTCGACGGGGTCAAGACGGAGGAGACGGGGAAGGGAAATGTCGAGGCTGCAATTGACGAGATGTATCTGGATCCTTTCGCGTCAGACTATGAAGTATCCAAAGACACGCTGCGTACCCTCGTGCTCGGTGTCGGTTGGCAAAGGTCTCTGGAAAGCCTCCTGCACCCCGCGCCCGCCGCGACGCTCGTCGTGCGAATGGCCACCAACATCAAAGCCACGTACACCTACCACCGCGGCCAGGACCCGTTTCTGCGCGCCGGCAACATGCTGCACGGCCACCCTTCGGAGAACCTCGAGCTCGCCGTCTACGCCCAGGCCTGGGCGACGCTGCTGCTGACGCCCGGCGCGCCCGAGGAGTTTGGCGAGAGCAGCCGCGAGCTCGCCTTCTGGTTCAACGCACACCGCACAGAGGACGTGTGGCTCATTGAGAAGTACTACTCGCCCCTCAGCGAGCGCATACTCGGCACCTCGGCCAGCGAGTTCACGCGCCCCATGCGCAGGGAGGACGACGAGTCGCCCGTGCCGCGGCGGCGGGCGCCGGACATGACCTTTCGCATCGGCCAGGTGGTGCGCCACGCGCGCTACGACAGGCTCGGCTTGGTCTACGGGTGGATCCAGCACGCGGGCATCACCTTTTACAACTGCATGTAAGTTTGGCTCGCTTGTTTCGCGTCTCGGAATTCGTGGGCTGACCCCGCCGCCAGGATCGAGGACGGGCCGCCGGCTGTTGTGGCTAGGGCCGACAATCTGGAGCTCGTCACGGATCCGGATCTGGCTCCGGATCGGTTTGAGAAGGCGGGGCTGTACTTTAAGCGGTTCGACCGCTCGACGTGTGCTTTCGTGTCGAATATCACGGAGGAGTTTCCGGACGACTAGCGCTTGGATTTGGTAGAATGATGACAAGAGACGAAGAGATGAGGATGTCGTTCTGCTCTGTGCGTGCCTGGCGTCGACATTTCACACGTATCAAGCTGCCATGTTCAGCGATCAAATTGGGCGTATCAAGCTGCCATGTTCAGCAACCAAATTGGGCGTATCAAGTTGCCATGTTCGCAACCAAATTGGCCGTTTATCCTCGACTGTGTATTCTTCAGACTCGTATGATGGACGCTACTGTAACCTGGCCTGCCAACGATGATCGCAGGCTCTCCTCTCCCCGACAAACAGAGACTTCGACACGGTATCCGTCTGCCACTCTGGCAGGTTCAAACATTGAGCATCTCGCCGAGCGCTTCATGCGCAGCAATGGCCTCGAGCCACCTGTGGATGGCCGCCATGTGATCCCTCTTCCGGCCCTGGAGCCGCTCCTCGTCCACGCGCAGCCCGCCGCGTTCGTCCCTGCACTCGCCCATGGCGACCTTTTGCGCCGTCACGAGCTCGCCGTACAGCCTCAGCAGGTCCTCGGTCGCCACGGAGGATTCCTTCACCTTGAACGCGAACAGGGGATCCACCGGCGCCTTGTCCACGTGCTCCCTCGTCAGGCCGTACTGCCCGAGCTGCTTGTTCTCGTGCTCGTTCTCGTGCTCGTGCTCGTGCTCGTTCTCGTCAGCAGCAGCAGCAGCAGCAGCCAGAGGCGGCGGGTTCCCGTCCACCAGCTCCCGAAAGGCGCCGCAGCCCGCCGTCCGGCCGCGGACCTGCAGCATCTCCATCTGGCGCGCGCTCTGCGCGAGGCGCGCCTTGGCCGCCGCCAGCGGACTCTTGCACAGCGCCATCATGTTGAAGTGGACCGAGTCCTCGCCGAGCTGGCGCATGCGGTCCTGGATGAACGGCGTCGCGGCCGCGACCCAGTCGGCGTCGTCGTGCACGGGGCCCAGACGGACGGGCCCGTTCTTGAGGCCGTCGAGCTCCCAGACGGCGCCGTGGGCGGGGACGATGGCGATGAAGTGGAAGCCCGAGTCCGAGTCGATCTTGGTCTTCTTCTTGCGCTTGGGCGTTGCCGCGGCGGTGCTCTTTCTCTTCTTCGGCGTCGTGTTGGTGCCTGCGGCGGCGGCCCTGGCGCGCTTCTTGGCGTTCTTCTTAAAGGCCGCGGCGCTGTTGCTGAGACAGAGGTCGGCGTTGAGGTGGTCCATTTTGCGCGTGAGCGAGTTGTGGATGGTGCGGATGTGGGCGTTTTGGCTGAGGGCGTGGCCGCGCAGGGCGAAGCACATGTCCTTTGTCGAGTCGCGGAAGGCCTGCAGCTCGGGGCCTAGCTCGACGTCGCTGTTCATGACTATGTTCATCATGGCGACGGTCGCGCAGGCATTGTCGGTTGTCTGTTGTCTGTCAGGAGGGCTCGGGACACAAAGCCAGGAGGGAGGGGGAGCGTACCTGATTGGCAAACCAGATAGCGTCGTCTTGGCCCTGTTCATCGTCGACCTCGCAGTCTTGGGCGAAATACTGGTAGAGGAAAATGAGGCCGTAGACGGGCTGGGGCAGGAGCTGCAGAGAATCCTCGTCGAGGCTGAAGAGTTCCTGGATCTTGACATCTTGGACGCCGCAGTCGCGCAAAATGGCGTTGAAAAAGGCCTGCCAAGCTGTTAGTGACGCTGCACGATTTGAAGGGGCAAAAGAGGGGAATACCGGCTCAGACTCGAGCTCGCACCAGCCGGTCCACTGGCGGATATCCTCCATGGTGACGGGTGCCAGGGCCTCCTTGAGGGTATCCTCCGACAAACGGCTCTGCGTCACGACGGCCTCGGTGGCTTTGCGCTTGGGGTTGCGCTTCGGCCCCTTGGCGTCGTCCATGATGGCGAGCTCGTCGGTTGCGTCGCAGTCGGTATCGGGAAGGAGCGCTCGCTTCCGTTTGCCCTTTGCCTTGACGACAGACGTAACGGCGGGAGTCGGCTGGGGAGTCACAGTTATGAGCTCATCGGGCTCGTCGGCGACGGCGGCCGGGGACTTTGCTGTAATCGGACCTTCGGAGACGTCAATAGCCGAGTCATCATGGGGATCAGCCACATCAGTTCGACCCATGGTGTGCTGTGTAGGTTTGGAGTCGAGGGACATGAGAGTTGGCGTGTATAGGGGCAGATATTGCAGTCGCGATGGGATGGTGAGTTTCTTGGGGTGAAGATGTAGTGATGGAAGGTGGGTTGAGATGAGGTGTGTAAGGTAGGCAAGGATGAAGTGGTAGGTGCAAGTTCTTGCAAAAAAGGGTTTGGCAGGTTCAGGACTTCAGCAAGGAAGGATCCCATTACAATATGATGGATTGTTACCCATTGTGATGGATTGTTACCCATTGTGCCATTCGTCAACAGGATAGGTACGTGAATGTGAAAAGTTGTTTGCAGCAGGCAGAAATCAGGCCGATAGTGAGAGTGACGATAGTAGGATCAGGCAAACGTGGATTGTGGCAGGCAAGAGCGAACCTTCCACGTAGGGCCTGGCCATATTCTTCAGGCTACTTGAAAGAACTCTTGTACACACCTTCAGTTACAGATGATCACATCGCTCTGGAGCAACACTCAGACATGAGGCTGTCGACGCAGGAAGCGAGCTGTCGGGATCCTCAAACAGAGAGAGGTGGTCAAGTGGATGTGCTGGGTTGTAGCATTAAAGAATCATGGCAGCATCCTAGTAGATGGCTTTCTGAGAATAAGAGCAAGGTATGGCGAGTTGCCTTAAGCGCTGTGACGACGATAAGTAGGATAAATGTGATGGTAGATACCAAGAGCATGCCTTTCTCGGCATGCCTTTCTCATCACAGCATCACAGCATTACCGAGAAACCCGTCGTCGCATTCACCCTGTGCGACGAGCTGGTGTTGCAGCAGATCCACACCGCACACCAGGCGCTGGATCGGATTTACCACAAGGCTGTCGAGAGGAACCCTGTGTCAAAGCTCACCGTCGATTATCTAATTCAAAAGGCCAATCACCATCCGTCAACAAACCAAGCTGCCAGGAGCTGTGCCCCACGTACCAAAGAAAGTGTTGTTCTAGGACCCCGTCGCGTCCAGAGTCCAGAGTCCAGAGACGTGAAGACATTCATTCACGTAGAGCCATCATTTTCCCACTCGCCAGTCGGCCTTCTTGACCCTTCCAAAAGGCCACCACCCAAGCTCTCCCACCATTGGAGCGTCTCATCTATGGTCGGTCTTTGATACCCCTACACCACATCAGCAGGCTCCTCTGCCCGCTGCCCAACCTTTCGTCTTTCGTCTTCCGTCCTTTTTTTTGCCATCCTCCCAAACGGCATGCAGCAGCCATGAGCGACACACCCAGACAGCGGACTGGTGGTTTCCCACAAACCCCAGGAACCGCAGCCCCGAGGCGAAGAGTTCCTCTGAGCCCTTCCGAATCACCTCCACCAGCCGCCTCTCGCACCTCACGGCCCTCCCGACTCTCCTCCACCCTGCCACTGGCGCCAGCAACATCGCAGACATCGACGGCCAGCGAGCCTCTGATCCCTCTGACCTTCCTCGATGGCCCGCAACAGCGATTCTACGCCGCCGCCGTGTACGTCATCCTGTGGGCGTGGAAGCTCTACGACTATGTCGGCCTGATAGAGGACAACGACATGTCCGTGTGGCTCTTTTTCAAATGGGTCCTGATCGACTTTGTCTTCCTCATGGGCCTCCCCGAGATGCGCATCCCCTGGCTCGAGCTCTCCCAGACCACCGTCCTCGGCGTCTGGGCCTTCCACTCCATCACAAACTGGCTGCTCATGTTCAACATTGGCCTGCCCTGGCAGCCGTGGCTCGTGGGCTTCCTCAAGATCTTCTATGACCGCGAGATCTCCGTCTCCGAGCACAGCGTCAAGGTCTCCTCCATTCTGCACAACCACTCGCTCATCATGGGTCGGCAGATTATCAACATTCTGCCCGAGGGGTAAGCCCTTCTGCTTCTGCTTCTGCTTCTGCTTCTGCTTCTGCTTCTGCTTCTGCTTCTGCTTCTGCTTCTGCTTCTGCTTCTGCTTCTGCTTCTGCTTCTGCTTCTGCTTCTGCTTCTGCTTCTGCTTCTGCTTCTGCTTCTGCTTCTGCTTCTGCTTCTGCTTCTGCTTCTGCTTCTGCTTCTGCTTCTGCTTCTGCTTCTGCTTCTGCTTCTGCTTCTGCTTCTGCTTCTGCTTCTGCTTCTGCCTATGCTGACCTGCCCAAGCTCCGCCGTGCTCAACTACGACCAGATCCCCTTCTGCCTCGGCGAGGGCCGCGATACCGTGTCCGTGCCGTTGCAGTTCAACTCGACCATCCCCGCCGAAATCGAGCTCATCCGCATCGACTTGCAGACCGACGAAGAGGAGACGATCCGGATGACCAAGAAGGAGGTCAATAAAATCGCCAAGGGTATCAAGGATCTCATGGTCGACTCGAACCCCGTCTCCGTCGATATTCCGCTTAAGAAGCCCGGTATCTACCGCCTCGGCAAGGTGCTCGACAACTACAAGCTCGAGGTCAAGCGGGTCACCAAGGATACCTACATCGTCCCGTGCCCCAAGGTTGAGTTCCGCAAGACAGAGGCGTCCGATCGCTGCAAGCGAGACTTGTCCGACCTCTTCATCGACGTCACCGGCACCCCGCCGCTGAAGATCCACTACAGCAGGACCATCAATGGCAAGGACCACAGCTTCCACTTCCAGAGCCTTCAGCCAGACGACTTTGCCTCGCCTCTCCTCGGCTCACAATCATCGGCGCTCGTGCTTCCTCAGAGCGGCGACTCTGCCTGGGTCAAGCCCCAGGCTGTCGAGGTCCGACTGAACGAGACCCTTGACACATCCGGCCAGTGGCAGTACGCCGTGACCGAGGTTCACGACGGTTTCGGCAACGTGCAGAAGTACGGCGATGGGGGCCCTGACCTCGACTACCACCCTCGCCCGAAGCACCTCGTCCGGAACTTCGAGGTCAAGGAGCGCCCGAGCGCCCAACTCAGGGGATGCGATCTGAGGACGCCTCTGAAGGTTGCTAAGGGCAAGGCGTCGAGGCTGCCCGTCGCGTTTCACATCCCTTCCTCTGGAGGCAAAATTCCCGACGACACGTCGCACACGCTGGAGTGGAAGTTTTCGCCCATCGACAGCTTGACGAGCGGCGGAGAACACGGTGATCAGGTCAAAACAGGGTCGTACACGGCCAAGAACTCAAAGGACAAGCCATCTGTTTCCGAACCCGGCCTCTACACCTTGACCTCTATCTCCTCTGGCTCTTGTGAGGGCGAGGTTCAGGAGCCCTCATCGTGCCTCCTGCTCAACCCTCTCGAGCCAACTCTCTCCTTGCGCGCCGAGGAGATTCCCGACAAGTGCGCCGGCAACTCAGTCGGCCTCCGAGTCGATGTGGACTTTACCGGCACGCCGCCTTTTGTCGTCCGCTGGGACGTCGAGCACAATGGCCGCAGAAAGGCCGAATACGCCGAAGTGCAGGGTCATCGCCAGCAGCTGCTTCTTCGGCCCACAGAAGCTGGCCTTCACAGGTACATCTTCAAGTCCGTGGACGATGCCATCTACAAGGGCCATACGCTATCTGGCCCCGACATGGTGCTCGAACAAAACGTCAAGCCAGCGGCCGTGGCGCGCATCGAACACAACACGGGCGTCATCAACGCTTGCTTGGAAGAGCAGGTCGAGGTGAACGTTGGTCTCGTGGGCGACGCTCCGTTCACCTTGGAGTGGGAGCTCGTCCACGACGGCAAGCGCAAGACGGAGCGTGTTACCGGCATCGAGTCTAAGCATTACAAGATCAAGACACCGCCATTCACCAAGGGTGGAGACCATGTCCTCGCCCTCAGCAGCGTTCAGGACAAGGCCGGCTGCCGCAACCATCTGGAGAACGAGGTCAAGATTTCCGTCCGGAGACAGCGACCCCGAGCAGCTTTCGGCTTGGCCGAGAAGAAGCAAAAGGTCATGGCTGTCGAGGATGCCAAGGTGAACCTTCCTCTTCGCCTCCAGGGTGAAGCGCCTTGGACGGTTTCGTACCGCAACCTCCACGGCAACGGCGAGGTACTTCAAAAGGTGGCGACCAAGCCGAACGACCAGATCGTCGTCAAATCCAAGGGTACTTATGAGATTGTCGACGTGACTGATAAGCAGTGCCCCGGCACGGTCGATCCCCAGGCTTCACGCTTCGAGGTTGACTGGTATGCTCGGCCTGAGATCAGCCTCGTCCAGTCAGACACAATCTCTCCTGCGACATCTGGCTTCACCAAGCTTGACGTGTGCGAGGGCGACATTGACGGCCTCGATCTGAACCTTGCGGGTGCGTCTCACTGCGGCCCTAACTCTTGCTTCTTTCATGCTAACCATCGCAGGCGCTTCGCCTTACCACGTCCAGTACTCGGTCCGCCACAAGCCCCTCCGCGGCGCCGATTCCAGGAGCACAAAGGACTTCGACGCTGCTCAGAACCGGGCGACCATCGCCATGGACACGTCCAAGGCTGGCGAGTACACGTACACGTTTTCGGCGCTGGCCGACGTTCTCTACGATAGCGACAAGAACTTCACGCCTCTCGTGGTGCGACAGCGCGTCAACGCCAAGCCCTCTGCATCCTTTGTGAAGCCTGGACAGTCGTTCAAGTACTGCCAGTCGGAGCAGGACAACGAGGACAAGATTCCCATTACGCTCACCGGCATTGCGCCCTTTTACCTCGAGCTTGAGATTAAGCACCACGGCGGAACGGTGCCCGAGGTTTACCGGATCCCCAGCATCAGCACCAGCTCGTACTCGATCCAGATGCCGCGACAGCATCTCCACCTCGGCGTGCAGCACGTGCGGATCCGCGAAGTGCGCGACGCGCGCGGCTGCCTGCAGCGGTACGACCTCAACGCGCCTTCGGTGCAGGTCCACCTGTACGATGCGCCGGCCATCTATCCCCTCGAGACGCGGGAAGACTTCTGCGTGGGCGAGCGCATCGCGTACACGCTGTCCGGCACGCCGCCGTTCGAGATCTGGTACGACTTCCAAGGCCAGCAGCGCAAGGCCAAGTCGCAGACGACCAGCTTCCGGCGCGTGGCCGAGACGCCGGGCGACTTCACCATCACGTCCGTCTCGGACAAGGCGTCGGAGTGCCGGGCGTCGGTCGACATGACCAAGACGATCCACCCGCTGCCCGCCGTGCGGATCAGCAAGGGCAAGCAGACGCGCGTCGACATTCACCAGGGCAACGAGGTCGAGATTCACTTTGACTTTTGGGGCACGCCGCCGTTTGAGTTTACGTACACGCGCAGCTCCAACCCGAAGCGCGGCCAGAAGGTCGAGGTGCTCGAGACGAAGCGCGGCGTCTCGTACGAGACGAGCACCGTGATCCGCGCGAGCGAGGAGGGCACGTACGAGGTTGTCGCCATCAAGGACAAGTTCTGCTCCTTCTCGACGCAGCAGGTCCAGGACGGCAAGGACCAGAAGCTGCTGAAGTACTAGGCGCGGCGAGCGCAGGCCGGCACAAGATGGGAGATGAGTGGGACATGAGCTGGGATGGGCAATGACGGAAGGTCCAGCGGGGCGGGCTGCTTCTGGCGAGGTGCAGTGCGGCACCGCGGGACATCTATACCACGGCATGGCGTTTGATTATGTAGGGATATTCAGGTTCGATTGTGCATTGTCCGCGTGAGTTGGCTGTGGTGAGCTGTGGTGAGCTGTGGTGAGCAAGTTCAATCTGTCTTGCATAGGAACGACCTGCAGCCTAGGATTATAAAAGCCGACGTTCGATGTGATCGAATGCCCAGCGCTCAGGCGAGCGGCCCTGGCTGTCCGGACATCCAACATGGCCGAAGCCCACGGTACGACCTACATCATCCCTTTCGTGCCGAAATGAAACCTCAGCACATCAACTGACCACCGCAGCCTGAAGAGCTCTAATGGATCTGGACAGGTAGTCATCCGTCCATACCTAGGTAGTTGTACTTATAGCGGGCAGGTCTGTCGAAAAACCAAGTAACGCACAGGCATGCAGACGTACTGTTCGTCTTACCCTTGAATCCAACTGGCGATATCTATTTTCTGCCGCTTGGCTGTCGATCATATGAAGGACTGAGGTTTCATTTCGGCGTTGAAGGGATGGGCGGGTGAGGCGCCTGTGAACTCTCGGTAGGAACGCGAGGACTATAACGGGAGTTTACCAGCCAGTGTTGAGCAAACCGCAAAGTCCGAGCAGCATGCAAGAATGAGAAGGCAAGACAGTGAAAGACTGCGGATCCGGAGCAGCTGAGCAGGCCGTTATGAAATGGTACAAGCTGGCTGGCTCGTGGCTAATCGACAGGTCCGGACCGAGGCTGGTTGCTCGGCTGCTTCGTGCTACGGACAAGTGCCTGAGCCTAACAGAGTGTGATTCAACCGCCTGGTTACAGGAACCTCGCGATGGGAAGGCTTAGGCGCTGACCAGATTCTGCTGTAGCTGTTGATGTAAACTTCGGACCGTAGAGCCGTGTATGTGTGTAGCTTGCGGACTTGGATGAACGCTCATGAGCTGAGGGCTGTAGGCTGCTATCTCAGAGACTTGGGTTTCTTACCGTGAGTCGCGCAGGGCTGACGTTACCGATGTGAGGTGACATTGAGACAGAGACGGACGGAGACAGACGGCGAGCCCCGTCTGCATCGACGCCCTGATAAATACATGAGTGGAAAGCAAGCAATGTCGTGCACAGCTCGCGGCTGTTATTGCCCTTCCTTGGGTCATCTCGAGATGGTCTCACTGGCTCGCAGCCACGGCCAAAGCCTTCCCATGAGCACCAACTGGGCAGACAGAGGCATGGTACCAACTCAGACGAGAAACGCTATTAGTTAGCAAAGACAAGGTGCTCTCAGCACTGCTGAAGCCAGGATCCAAGACATGCCCAGGCCCGTATACATGCTAGCCGTCAGGCGACCCTGCGGAGCCGCCAGGAGCCGCTCAGCAGGTCGGCCAGGGGCTAAGCGCTACGAGAAACGGATATATATATATGCTGCGGAGGGCCAGAATTCATACGTATTCCGACCCCTACCTATCTTCTATTGCCTGCGGACCACGTGTGGAAGACCTCTTCACTCTGCTCTAAACAACTCTGACACTAATCAACACACTAGACCTAGAGGCGCTGCCGCCGGAACCGAAGCAACTAAATCACCTTCAAACAGAATCCTGCCTGAAGGACACGAAATGAACCCCGTAACTAGCGGACACCTGGAATACAACCAGACGCTTCATTAGACTTGCACACGACCGCGAGCTTCCCCATAGCACCAGGCACGGGCGGAAAAGGGTGCTGACGTATAATTGGTAACAACGATCACATAGCTAAGGAGAAGCGCTCCTAAATACGGCCAGTGTAGAACTCAAGCCCAAGCCCAGAGCAAGAGCACAACACTAACACATGCAACGCGAGCCTAGGCCTGGGAACATACTTACAAGCACACAAGCCTAGAGGTGCTGGCGCCACGGGAACGAATCAACTGAATCACTTCAAGTAGAGGAATCTGCCCCCGGATGACTTGACATGAATCCTGTAAAGCGAGTAACTTGAGTATGGCCATCTTGACGGCCGAAGGAGCGCGGCGGCGTGGGCGCCTTCTGCTTATAAAGGATTTATAGCGGCGTTACATCTCATCATTGTCATGAGTATCTTGACGGTCAAGGATGGCGCAGCGGCGTGGGAGCCTCATGCCTGTATAGGATTTATAGTGGCGTGATATATCACCATCCTCATCTCGTTAATGTACCGTCTCTTGCAGACTGCTCAGGCAAGGGTGACAGAAGCCGCACTTCAAGTTCGCCAAACGCAGGTATCATCCATAGACCCTAGCTTTAGACCCTCTTGATGCCTCTCATCTCCATGAAATGCTCTCAAGCTCTGCTTACTAGAAATCAGCGACACGTTTAAGATCAGATGACTCTTATCAATTTTGAGCACATGTAAAGGATCGTGAACGGACGAGTGAGCTTCCTTATGAGTGGCCTTGTCGCCCCTCGTCAGAAGCCGTCTAGGAAAACCGCCAGCTCGACGCCAGGCATCTTTCCACAGAACAACCTCACCTCAGACGGCATTGTAGTCGACGAACGAGCTGAATTCAACAAATGGTATTATCAAGGATATCAACTCAGACCTTATGGTCTGTAGATAGCGCAAGCTGCGCCCGACATACGCATCCACCCGACATGCGTATCCAAGCTACTCCGCAACCTCGATCCTCTTAATCATGGCCCCCCCAATCCTCGCAATCTCCAACAAGACAGCCCCCTTGTTCACCTCGACCTCGTCCCTGTCCCCGTCCCCGTCCCCGACGGCCGAAAAGTTAAAAGGCAGGCCGACCCGGAACGCCTGCCTCCGGAGCTTGGGCTGCCAGATGGCCCCGACGACGGCGTCCCCGCGCCCGCCGCGGAAGAAGATGAGGCTGTCCTCGTACGCGGCCTCGAGCTCGCCGAGCAGCACGTCCACGGGATGCCGTGCCAGCGGGAGCGGCACCTTGCCCGTCCGGGCGTCGAGGTTCTTGAACGCCGAGTGCCGCGCACCCGCGTCGGCGGCGGCGTCGCGGAGCACGCGCTTCATCTCCTTGGACGAGAGGTGGAGGAGCAAGTCGTAGTCTGCGAGCGACGGCTCGAAGAGGGCGTCAATCTCGAGCGCCACGTCCTGCTCGCGGACGAGGCGGACGGCCGACTTGGCAAGGCGCGTCATGCGCGTCGCCGAGAGCTTCGTCGGCGCCGTGCGTGTGTACGACTGGCCCGTTGGGTCGTTGGACGTGGCGACGAAGAGGACGGCGTGGTTCATGTTGGGGTCGCGCGCGCGCCAGGCGGCGAGCGTCGTTTGCGACAGCGCCGCGTCCTCTGGAGACATGTCGTCGGAAAAGTCGACGACCAGTGGCTGCGTGCGCCAGTCCCAGCGGGAGAGGAAGAGGAGGGTGCGCAGGAAACCGGACTGCGCGCTCGAGGGGATCTTCCACGGGTGCGGGCGCAGGAAGACGTGGAGCACAAGGAGCTCGATGAGCTCCTCGGAAATGTGGCCCGTCAGCTTGTGACTGTTGAACCAGTGCTTGGTCATGCGGATTGCGGGCGAGAGAGCGGGGAGGCGCGTGCAGAAGCTGGCGATGGACTGCGTGTGGAGCGGCAGGTCATTGTTCTGCCAGCGAATCTTGTGCAGCGTCTCCTCGGCGGCGAGCCGAACGTAGGGGTCGAGCGTCTTGTTCTTTGCCTGGCGCTCGAGAAGGGTCTCCTCGGGATCCGAGTGGACGCGCAGGCGGAACGCCGCGCCGTTCTCGTAGACGACGTCGAGGAAAGCCAGGTTGTCCGAGTCGCGGACGGCATTGTCACGGCCGAGGCACGTTGTGATGTTGTCCTTGGCGGCCTTTAACCTCCTGTCAATGTCGAGCAGGAATTCAATCTTGGCCTCCTGGATCGCCACGACATTCTCAGGCCACTTGCTCGACGCTTCGAACGTGAGCGTCACGTCCATAGGAACGGCGGTGCCTTTGTGGAAGCCGATGACGGGCGGCCGAATCGAGGCGTAGCGGAGTTCGGGAACAACAGGCGCCAACCGCCTGATGGAGAGGGGCAGGTCCTCGAGACTGCGAAGGTCGTGCTCCATCGTCTGGAAGGCGCGCCTCGCCGTGTCGAAAGCCTCCTTGTCGACGGGCGTGAACTCGAGGCCTTCCGGCGTCTTGCCGCCGTAGAAGTGAATGTTGCTCTCCTCGACGCTCGCGTGCAGCTTCAGCGCGTAGCGGGTAATCTCCTCGCAGATGCCCGCCGCAGACGTCTGCTTCCAGGGGACACACTCGAGGATGCTGCCGTCCTTGAATCTTCGCAGCTCCGACTTGTCACCCCAGAACTGACGGAACCTGGCGGCTTCCTTCTGCGACTCGGCCGACGGACCATACTCCATGGGCTTGGCCATGTTGGCGAGGTCAAAGACGACTCCGATGAGCACGCTCGGCGTACTGGCCTCGGGCTGCGTGTCGAGCTCCCATGCCGACTGTTCCGGCAGCTTGATGTGGATGAGAGCGGCGCGGTCGTTCAGTGCCTTCTTCAACGTCTTGTGCACTCTTGAGCTGAAGTTCCAGAAAGGTCCTTGGCGGTCCGCTGCGGCGCTGTTGCGCTCGAGATCAATGTCTTCAATCTCAATGTTGATGTCATACATTTGATGCGGGAGGTCGACCTTTGTGATGAAGGCCGCCTCGAACTGGTCAGCGACATGGGCGTTGAGAAGCTCCAGCGTGATGCCGGCGTGGTACTTCAGTAGGTTCGCGGACCAGGGGCTCATCTTGAACAGGATGTTGAGCTCACGGTCGGCGTCAAACATGACGGGGCCTGCCTCGCGAATCGCCTCTTCGCCACGAGCATGCGCGCCAAAGACGAAGGGCTTGGCGACGAAGTCTGTGGACCCGAGAAACTGAACCGTGGCCTTGAACAGCTCCGTGCTGCTGAGGGAAGACGACAGGGCCGCCTGGCCGTTCCTGCCACCCTTCTGCAGCAGCAGCGCCATGGTGATGGCCCACTCAAAGTGACCGAAGCCTCCGCCCGACATGTTGCCGCCGAGCCCGCGCTGCTCGAGCCAGACCTTGCCGAGGATGCAGGCATCGGCAAAGGCTTTGCATTGGGTCCTCGCGCGGGTCAAGACGCGCAGGTATGTGACGAATGTCTCCTCGGCCTTGAGGGTTGAGTTGTAGAACGGGGTCGGGGCGTCTGCGCCGTCGGCCTTGTTGTTGTTTGCGGTGGAGATGAGCTTGGACTTGGAAAAGAGGCCGTCGGGGGCGCAGGGGATGATGCGGATGGCGTATGCAGCGTCGCTGTCGTCGTCGTCGTCGTCTTCGTCGTCGTCGTCGTCGTCGTCTTCGTCGTCGTCGTCTTCGTCTTCGTTGTCGTCATCTTCGCTGTCATCCTCCTCTTCCGAGTCGTCTTCTTCCGATTTTCCCGCCTTTCCCGCCTTTCCCGCCTTTCCCGCACCCTTCTTCTCCTCCGCGACCTTGGGAAGGACGGTCAAAACAGGCAGAAGGCTGTTCTCGTGGAGGTTCTCAAACAGCAGGTCGACAGACGAGCCCAGGGCCTCGCGAACGCCAGCGGCAATGGTGGCGATGTAGTAGGCGCGACGGTAAAAGTAGCGCATGGCCTGGAAGTCCTTGTCCTGGAAGAGCGAGGCGGGCATCTGCACAATCATGTCGACGCACTTGTCCTCCTGGCCCTGGACCATGGTGCGCGAGACGTAGCTGCCGACGACGTTGCAGGCGGCGGGCTTGGCGTAGGCGAGCTTGTAGGGGGCGTCGGCGGCGGGCTTGGGGTCGGGAAAGGGGATCTGGACGTGGTGTTTCTTCTGGAACTTGCGCGTGGCATCGGAGATCTGGAGCGGCAAGAGAGGACAGAGGGTCAGCGTAGTTCATGGTCGAGACGAGTGTTAAATGATGTAGAGCCAAGAGGGGGATTCGTACGGGAGCGGCCTCCTGCGGGGCAATGGCGTCAATAACGTCCTTGATCTGCTTCAACAGGGCGTCGGCGCCGTCAAAGGTCTCTGCATAGTCGACCTTGACCTCCTTCAGAAGCTCTTCGGTCTGCAGGACGAAAGGACTGGCCGTGGCTGTGGCCATGGCGACGGATCGTTTGGACTTGAGGGCGTCGCCATGGTGAGAGACCTTGCGTCTTTTGGCGCCAGACTCCATGATGGCGTGGGTTGTCGGTTGGCAGGCCGGATGAAGGTGCCTTGGGTGTGGTCGTGGGTGTGGTCGTGTTCGTGGTCGTGGTCGTGCAATGGTGTTGGGAAGACGGGATGCCCTCACAGAAAGCATGAGCTCCTCCTCACCATCGACGGCCTCTGGGTCGCACCTGCACGTCGACTTGAACTTTTTTCTGCAGCGGCGTGGGGCTCTGATAAGATAAGGCGGAAGAATCCAGCCACATATTCATGCTGCCAGTCATAGCTGACATAAGACT